GCTACCTGAGGGGACTCAGTGGTCAGTGTGTACAGGTCCGACCCCGGCTGCCGAGTGAAGGTAGCCAGGTGACGGCCCGTCCGAGCACACGTGCAGTGTGTCACGCGCTCGTAGGCAGGGGTGAACTGGTGAACACCCGCATCCTGGAGCGCACAACCCGCCACCAAGTTCGTAGAGAACGAGGGGAGGTGGAGACCTGACAGTGTGCCCGACGGGACCGCAGGACAGGGAAGAACAGTGGAGGAGGTTGCAATGACCGGACCCCCAGAGGGGTCAGCGAGGGAGACAGCAACTGGCCGAGCAAGCGGCTCAGGGGCATTGCGGTCACGAAAGAAACAGCGAGAAGCACCTGAGTCCAGGGTGAAGGTGTGCAGGGCCTCAGTCGACTCAGTACCAGGGGGCGCAGACTCACTAGGACCTAGAGTAGCAGCCTCACCAGCACCTAGGGCAACAGACGTACTAGCACCTAGAGCGGCAGCCTCACTGACAGGACACGGCAGCTGCACCTGTCCACTACCAGAAGCTCCCGAACGATGCACTCCAGAGCGACTACCACTACGGCCACTCCGACAGCCCAAACTAGCGTACCACTCACGCGCACGAAGCAGCTGGGGCGAAGGAGGACACGGCAGCTGCACCTGTCCACTACCAGAAGCTCCCGACCGATGCACTCCAGAGCGACTACCACTACGGCCACTCCGACAGCCCAAACTAGCGTACCACTCACGCGCACGAAGCAGCTGAGGCGAAGGAGGACACGGCAGCTGCACCTGTCCACTACCAGAAGCTCCCGACCGATGCACTCCAGAGCGACTACCACTACGGCCACTCCGACAGCCCAAACTAGCGTACCACTCACGCGCACGAAGCAGCTGGGGCGAAGGAGGACACGGCAGCTGCACCTGTCCACTACCAGAAGCTCCCGACCGATGCACTCCAGAGCGACTACCACTACGGCCACTCCGACAGCCCAAACTAGCGTACCACTCACGCGCACGAAGCAGCTGGGGCGAAGGAGGACACGGCAGCTGCACCTGTCCACTACCAGAAGCTCCCGACCGATGCACTCCAGAGCGACTACCACTACGGCCACTCCGACAGCCCAAACTAGCGTACCACTCACGCGCACGAAGCAGCTGGGGCGAAGGAGGACACGGCAGCTGCACCTGTCCACTACCAGAAGCTCCCGACCGATGCACTCCAGAGCGACTACCACTACGGCCACTCCGACAGCCCAAACTAGCGTACCACTCACGCGCACGAAGCAGCTGAGGCGAAGGAGGACACGGCAGCTGCACCTGTCCACTACCAGAAGCTCCCGACCGATGCACTCCAGAGCGACTACCACTACGGCCACCCCGACAGCCCAAACTAGCGTACCACTCACGCGCACGAAGCAGCTGGGGCGAAGGAGGACACGGCAGCTGCACCTGTCCACTACCAGAAGCTCCCGACCGACCCACTCCAGAGCGACTACCACTACGGCCACCCCGACAGCCCCGACTAGCGTACCACTCACGCGCACGAAGCTGCTGGGGCGTGGGGGACTCACGCGCACAGCCCTGGAGCTGCATCTGGCCACGTCAGGAGCAGCAGTAGTAGCAGTAGCGGCAGTAACAGTAGTAACAGCAGGAGCAGTGGCAGTGGGAGTAGAAAAGGCAGTTGCAGCAGTACTGGGCAATGCTCACCAGTGGTCGGCGCGGCAGGCGCAAGACGGTGGCGACAGTGGGGCCGCTACAACTGCAGGGCTGGGCCGGGCCGCAGCAGGGAGCTCCGCGGCAGCTGCGGCAGGGCGAGGCTGGGCCGCGACGGCAGCTGCTCCAGGTGCCACTGGGGCGGCTGCTGCAGGTGCGGGCTGCTCCAGGGGCGGCTGCTGCAGGTGCGGGCTGTTCCAGGGGCGGCTGCTGCAGGTGCGGGCTGTTCCAGGGGCGGCTGCTGCAGGTGCGGGCTGTTCCAGGGGCGGCTGCTGCAGGTGCGTGCTGCTCCAGAGGGGGCTGCTGCAGTGGCGGGCGGCTCCAGGGGCTGCTGCTGCAGTGGCGGGCGGCTCCAGGGGCTGCTGCTGCAGTGGCGGGCGGCTCCAGGGGCTGCTGCTGCAGTGGCGGGCGGCTCCAGGGGCTGCTGCTGCAGTGGCGGCTGCTCCAGGGGCTGCTGCTGCAGTGGCGGCTGCTCCAGGGGCGAGAGGCGGATTAGGTCAGGGCGACGCGGCGGGCAGGTGGCGACGCCGCGGGCAGGGCGACGCGGCGGGCAGGTGGCGACGCCGCGGGCAGGGCGACGCGGCGGGCAGGTGGCGACGCCGCGAGTAGGGCGACGCCGCTAGCAGGTGGCGACGCCGCGGGTAGGCGACGACGCCGCGGGCAGGCGCCGACGCCGCGGGCAGGGGACGACGCCGCGGGCAGGCGACGACGCCGCGGGCAGGCGACGACGCCGCGGGCAGGCGACGACGCCGCGGGCAGGCGACGACGCCGCGGGCAGGCGGCGACGCCGCGGGCAGGCGACGACGCCGCGGGCAGGCGACGACGCCGCGGGCAGGCGACGACGCCGCGGACAGGGGCTACGTCGCGGGCAGGCAACGACGCCGCGGGGAGGCGGCGACGCCACGGGCAGGGCGACGCGGCGGGCGGCGAGAGCCTGCAGGGGCGGCGCGCGGTCGTGCAGAGGCTGCGCGCGGGCCTGACGGGTGTGCAGGGGCGGCTCTCGGGCCTGACGGGCCTGCAGCGGCGGCTCGGGGGCCTGACGGACCTGCAGGGGCAGCTCGAGAGCGCACGAGGGCGCACGAGGGCGTACGAGGGCGCACGAGGGCGCACGAGGGCGCACGAGGGCGCACGAAGGCGCACTAGCAGAGAAAGGCGCACGAGGGCGCACGAGGGCGCACGAGGGCGCACGTAAGGTAGAGCGCACGAGGGCGCACGTAAGGTAGGGCGCACGAGGGCGCACGTAAGGTAGGGCGCACGAGGGCGCGCCTAGTGTTGGTGTAAGGGCCTAATAAACTCAAGCTATTAGGACTTAATCAAACTTAAAACCTCTCCTTGGGGTCACCTCCAAGGGTCCCTGGGTGCCTGGTACAAGACCAGCCCCTATCCTCGGGTCCGAGTTTGTAGAGAGAGGGATCAAGAAGGACTTAGTCAAAACAGCAAGAGTACCTTGAACGTCGCGCAGCGTGCCGTGCAGACCGTCGATCGGATTAAGCTGAGAATTCGCTATATCGAAGCTCGCTCCAAGAGCTTTAAAATGAGCCAAGTTGCCTCGCGAAAAGTTCTGCCATTACGAAGTTATGGCTCAGACGGTGTTTGCCTAGCATTAGAGTGCTAGCGTACTAGCGTTGACTCGGGTAGCATTCCGCCAACGAACCGCGTAGAAACGAAATTCCAGCGAGGAAGGAATTCACATGAATCAATTTGACTATATTCAGGTACAAACAGAGAAGGATTAAATAGTTCTAGCTAGCAAGGACCTTGGGAATCAACCTGGGAACAACCAGGGATGATCCCAAATAATTCCAAGCAATAGAACCAACCTGGCTGGACAAAATAGCAGGTGGTAGGTTGGTAAACAACCTCTGGTTCTGTTTTTCCAACCTGGGAAAACAACAACCAGGTTCAGGTTCTAAAAACAGAACCTGTTTTGTCTTTGCCTAACCAGCCAAATGCTGGTTCCGCTGGTTTCCCCTGGCCTTGTAGCATGCAGATACAGACAAACAACATCCAACCTTCACCTAAATTGTACCCCTATAGTGCCTTCCCTGCTACACTATAGTTAACCAAACAAAACAGTACAATTTCGAGTTGGATAGAACTGAATCTGCGCAATCAACTCAACCGAACTGCAAAGCTTCCATCTTGGGTTCCTTTGCGAGCTCGTCCTTTCTGCTTGCACTGTTCATAGCGCGTACAATGTTGTGCCGAAGCGCACATTGCGCGAGTACCTGCAAATGCATCAAGCGAAAATTGCGAAAGCAAACAAACACACGAACATTCCATTCACACCCAAATGCATTCGCACACGCATACTCGTACAAACAGACGGCAGGATGTCGTGCAATGTAAATTTGCACGCCGCGGGCAGGCGACGACGCCGCGGGCAGGCGACGACGCCGCGGACAGGGGCTACGTCGCGGGCAGGCAACGACGCCGCGGGGAGGCGGCGACGCCGGGCTAGATTCTAACATGGTATCAGAGGCCTAGGTTGCTACCTAGGACCGCTTTCTACAATGGGCCCACTATTCCGCTAGGCGCGCCCTCGTGCGCCCTACCTTACGTGCGCCCTCGTGCGCCCTACCTTACGTGCGCCCTCGTGCGCTCTACCTTACGTGCGCCCTCGTGCGCCCTCGTGCGCCCTCGTGCGCCTTTCTCTGCTAGTGCGCCTTCGTGCGCCCTCGTGCGCCCTCGTGCGCCCTCGTGCGCCCTCGTACGCCCTCGTGCGCCCTCGTGCGCTCTCGAGCTGCCCCTGCAGGTCCGTCAGGCCCCCGAGCCGCCGCTGCAGGCCCGTCAGGCCCGAGAGCCGCCCCTGCACACCCGTCAGGCCCGCGCGCAGCCTCTGCACGACCGCGCGCCGCCCCTGCAGGCTCTCGCCGCCCGCCGCGTAACGAGAATGGATGAACTAGCAGGAAGGTGGGTACAAGTATGAAACCCTAAGTTTGTGTACCCTCTAAGGCTAAACCCACTATAGCCTACACAATATAAACATACAATGTTTGACATACACGCCGTTCAAGCTTGGGCAACACGTCTGGCCAGCCTGATATCATTCTCATCACAAGCCCGGCCCCGCCTGCTCCGCCTGCACCTCCTGCTCCTCCGGCCCCTCCGGCTCCTCCTGCGCCTCCTGCGCCCCCTGTGCTTCCCCCGGGCTCGATCGACTGGCGCAACAACCCTTCGTTGGACCCGCTCGAGAACGAGGGGTTCTCCCAACCCGCCGCCGTTTCGGATGACGACTTGGCGGGTGACGACGAGGTGAATCATGACGTCGGGAATTTCCCGATCCCGCGCTTCCCGGAGGATCTCATGCATGACGAGAACGGTCCGCGGGCCCGAGCCGACGGTGCGCCATCGAGTCCCCGCGCTCGCACCACGACGCACAGTCGCAAGGCCCGTACGATGGGTGAGAAACAAGATTGGCTAGCGCGGATAGAGGCGGAGAAGCTCTCCGTCCGCCACACGGCTCGTCTGGCGGGGGTGCAACTGGTCAGTGTGCGCCGGTGGATACGGGCGGCGGATCGGATCAAGAACGCAGAGCGCTCCAGGCGGCGCCTCAGCGGTGGCGGGCGGAAGGCAAAGTACCCCGATATGGAGGCGCACGCCTACAAGCGCATGCTGAACTTCCGCGGCCGTGGCTTGGCCGTGCCGATCCGACTCATCAAACACTGGAGCAGGGTCTACATGAAGGCCTACTACCCGGACGTGAGGTGGATGGCGTCCAACAGGTGGACGTACCGTTTCCGCGGGCGCCTCGGACTCTCCATCCGCGTGAAGACGAAGATTGGCCAGCGTCTAGCAAAAGGTAAGCCGATTGTGTGTAACGCGGCCTCGTAATGCATTATCGTTGTGATGTGTTGCATTTTACGGCGTTGTTACACTCACTGACCGTTGTTATTTCGGCGTTGTGCGTTCGTGGCAGAGTGCAAGCCGAAGTGCCTGGAATTTTGGGAGTTCACGCGCAAGAACATCATCAAGCACAGCATCGACACGTGGAACATCGTGAACGCCGACCAGACGTCGGTGTTTTTGGAGATGCCAAACGAGCGCACTCTGCACCACCGCGGGGAGAAGACGGTGCACGTCAGGAGCGCGGGGTACGAGAAGGAGAGGGTCACGGTGATGCTTGGCATCACCGCTGACGGCCGGAAGCTCCCTGCGATGGTGATTTTTAAGCGCAAGACAGTCCTGAAGATTCGGGTCCCTGCAGGTGAGATGCACCCGTGAAACGCTTCGTTTCCGAGCGTGTTTGAAAACCTGGACTAACCGCATGTGCTCTTCCTTTGCAGGAGTCGTCGTCCGTGCTCAACCCAAGGGTTGGATGGACGCCAAGCTTGTTGACGACTGGGTCAACAACATCCTCCTCCCGTTCATCAAGCCCCCGCGTGGGATCCGACGGTCCAAGACCCTGTTGGTCTTGGATTCTTACCGGGGCCACCTCACGGATGGTGTGCTCACCAACCTGAAGTGGAACCAGGTGATCCCGGCCATCATCCCAGGGGGATGCACACCTCTGCTGCAGCCCCTTGACGTGAGCGTCAACCGCTCATTCAAGGCGCTGCTGCGTGAGATGTACAACGAGTGGTTTGCCGAGATCGGCATCAATACGTTCACGAAGGCCGGTGAGTCGCCCGGTTGCTAGCCTGCTTGTTCTAATCCGTCTGGGTAAAGTGCTTACTGACGCTAAGCGTGCATTTCTATGTGTGTCCCCTCTTCTTGGCAGGGAACTTGAAGAAGCCCCCTGCCGAGACCGTGCTCAAGTGGATTGCGGCCGCTTGGGCCGCGGTTCCCGAGCACATCATTGAGAAGGCCTTTCTGACGTGCGGAATTAGCAACTCAGTGGACGGGAAGCAGGATCACCTCGTCTTGGCCCACATGCGCGACGCGGGCGAGGTCGAGGTGGCTGAGGACGTGCACGTCCTCCCAGAAGTGGAGGAGTGGGTGAACCCTCTGTATGCAACCGCCGCAGATGACGAGGAGGCGGCAAAGGTGGTTGATGCCGAGGATGCTGGGGACCTCCCTGAGGAGGAGGAGGAGGAGGAGGAGGAGGAGGAGGAGGAGGAGGAGGAGGAGGAGGAGGAGGAAGAGGAGGAAGAGGAGGAGGAGGAGGAGGAGGAGGAGGAGGAGGCGGAGGAGGAGGAGGAGGAGGAGGATGGTGGGCTGGAGGAGAACGCGGACGAGTAGTGAGGATTAGGATGCAGGCAGAGATGTGGTATGGGACTTCCAAGGGCCCAAATTGCTAGATTTGCCACTATGAGTATGTAACTTGTACGGTAGTTGTAGGGTGACGGAAGTGTAGTTTTAGTGATATGTGTTTGAGTTTAACCAACAACCTTTTGATTCAACAGCATGAAAATGGCACTTTAGGGAAGGGGGGGGTGTCTCATGATGATTAGCGGCCAAGGGGGGTCCTCACAATATCTGCCACAATAAGAGTCCCCCTACCCGTTCAAGAGTCCCGGGGGACCTTCTTACCGGCGGCTCTTCTAGCCGGAACTATACGGTAGAGAAAAAGATCTTAAGTTACCACATGATGAACGGCTTGATTCTATAAGACGACGGTCTAAGGGCCGATGAGCTGCAGGAGGTGCGGCTGCGGCTCGGTGTAGAGCATGCCGACGGCGATGCCGAGCGGCACGAAGCCGTACTGCGCCACGACCTTGGCCTTCCGCAGCACCCACGTCGGCCACTCCTTCACGGCCCGCGCCACGCGCTCGTAGTCCACCAGAGCCATCGCGAGACCAGGCGCGTGCCGAGGAACAGGAGGAATAGTAGGAGGGAGCAGAGGGGAAGTTGACTGAGGAGGTTCGAGGGAACACAGCTGGCGGAAAATCTCAGCCGAGACGGGTCGTCAAGCCTGACGACCCTCTGACGACATGCTGCCCCGGGCAGAAAAAAACTAAAACCCCATCGGATGGCATGCCATCCGAGGGAGCCTCAACCCTAAAATCCATGCCTCCCCGTGTTTAGGGTTGAGGCTCCCTGACCGGATGCATGCCCGAATGGGTTTTAGTTTTTTTTGCCCGCGGGCAGCGAGCTCCCCCGGGCGGACTCGCTTGTCCGCTGAGATATATCATTCGGAAACGGTTAGTGCGGAGGGGGATGAGATGCGAGGGCGTGGATGGGAAAAGAGAGGAGGGGAGCAGGGCTCTCGGTATCAGGGTAAACACTCTGAAATTCAGGTACATTCCGTATGTTTTTTTGGCTAATCCTGATTCATCAGAATCGTTCTAGAAATCATCCTGACAATTTCCGGATGATTTGGCTGAGCATTCCTGGTTCTTCAGGGTATTTTCTCAGGCGAACCTGGAGCCTTCCGTTCCTTAAAAAACAAAAGATTTGCCCTGGAGGGGAGAGAAGCTGTCGAAAGATGGTGTATGCAGCTGACCATACGGGGTGTACCTTTAGAACGCACATGGGTATAGTGGTTTCGCATGTACATTAATTTGTACCAATATGGATCGGCTTCCCCCACAGGTCGTATCGCAATCATAATCCGGTTGTTCTCTTTCATAAAAGCCGCCAACGCCTCGAAACAATCATGCTATAGCGAGGATGGCTTAGGGCCGCCTAGATGTAACGTTGTCGGAATCTGTAATACCTCCACTACCCACTTATGCTCCTTAGCTCGCGCGCATCGCGATCTCGTTCCACGTGCAGCATGCCTTCTGCAATGACTTGACCCAAAGCTCGCTGCCACTCGCCCTCGCTTCGCCGTCCGACACGACGCGTCCCTAATACTACGACGCCCGCTGGCCCAGCGCCAGGACTCCCTACCGCGAGAACCTATGCGCGAAATGCCTTCGCGAACAGATATCCTAGGCAATCGAGGGTTTCTGTTGCTGCTGGTAGCGGTCGTTCTCGCGTCCTATTGGCTGATCGCCGATGACAGCAGCAGCCGAAACGACCTTCTGGCCGGAGAGAACTTTCCGGGGGGAGATTCCCCCCTTGCCCTCTCTGAAAAGCTCTCGCTAGAAGAAAATGCCCCTTTAAAATCACTTGAATCTTCATTCGAAGCCGAAACTGAATCACAGCAGCGAGAATCGAGGAGCCCACCCCGTGATACTCATTCAAGCCAGCGCTCTGGATCTTCCCCTTACTGTCACTTGTACTAGGTTCGATGGGTCAGGGACGCGAGAACAGTCATTTCTCGTTATTACTACGGCGGGGAGTGCTTCTGGATTTCGCAGTGCCTGTGGGAGAAATTCAACGGCACATGCAACGGCCGGTGGGAGATCGTCGGGGGAAGCAATGCGGAAATGCAGGATCCGAAGACAACATGCGGCAAAGGCGACGGGTACAAGAGGAAGGGCGGCAGGAGGACATCACAAAAATGTGTGTGTCTGTAAATCATTCGACCGTTTGATTTTGTAGCAAGGGTTTAGAAAACGTTTGACAATCCCTTAGGAATCATTTACAAATCATTTGTATTGCACTTCTGGATTACCAAATGTTTTGCTGATGTTTTGCAGATGGTTTACCAATGTTTCAATAATTGGTTTGTCAAACGTTGTTTGTTGAAACAATATATAGACTGCATGTTTGTCTGTTTAATAATCACATAATGTTATGGTTTGAAAAATATAGTAGCAATCTAGAAGGCATTACCAACTGAACCTATTGAGCAACTTCACATCAGGGTCTTTGCAGCACGGGACAACATGCACCATGCTAAGAATGCAATCTGCATCCACAACTGCATAGTTGTAGGTGCCTTTCGTGGGCAGCAATCGCTTGCAACCTGTGTAGCGGCAGACACGCCGATCCTCCGTGTAGTACTCGATGTAGGCAGCCTTTTTTTGCCACCCCATTTTTCTCGTAATGGAACAGCAGCAAGCAACGGCCGTACCAGTTGGCCCCTTTGCCAGCTGGATTAATGGCCACATCAGAAAAGTGCCTCTCAGCAGGGCTTGCTTTGACAAACTGCCCCTTCTCGGTCCACTCCATCCTGTCGTGCGGCGGGATTGCCATGGCTGTGTGCACCTGCGAGTATGCCCACAGCACAACAATGGAAGGGGAGTGTTAGAGTTCTTAGGGATGGGGTGCTGAAAAGTGTGTTGATACAACAAGTTTCCATGGCTGGGTTTCCCCATTAAAACTAGTCACAGGCTGCATGCGTTTAACAGGATGGTAGAGGCTGCACACACACTTGCAATAAGCATTCTAATTATTCTCACATTGAGCACTGGCTCGCGGATTCCCTCCATGGTCAGCCGCTTCTTCAGGGCGCCCATCGCCTCTTCTCCGTGAACAAGGACATAGCTCCTGAACACATCATCGGTGATGTGCCCAACGATCATCTTCTTGTATGTCTTGGTCATCACCCGGCGCCCTTGCGTGCAAGCCTGGCTTAAGAGGGTGATGGATGCATGGTTTACATGGGGGGCGACAACAAGGAAGCACTTGAGTACAATGGGGGCAGCAGGAGGAGGGAGGAGGGATTAGGGACGAGTGGGAGGGAATAGGGTTTAGGGACGAGAGGTCAAAGGGGGCAGCGACATGAGGGAGAATAGGTGGACAAGAGCCAAGCAGGGGGGGGGCGAGTAACGAGAGGGATAGGGGTTGAGCAATAGGGTTTAGGTCCATGGGTGGACAAGTGGGGGAGCATGTGGGGGCAGAATGGGATGTCAAGGATGGCAAAAACAAGAAGATTAGTGGGTGGACAAGTGGGGGAGCATGTGGGGGCGGAACAGGTTGTCAAGAGGTGCAGCGGGGTAAACATCCATGGGTTGACAAGTGGGGGAGCATGTGGGGGCGGAACGGGATGTTAAGGGTTTAGGATAGCAAGAGGCGGGACCAGCGGGGCTCAAGCAAAGAGGGGCAAAACAGGAAGTCATGGAGGGTAGCAGGCGGAGGGAGCAGGGGGGGACTAGTGGTGGGTAAAAACGGCTAGGTTGTATCCAAGCTCACCTCCTTCATGGCTGTCTCGTAGGTTTTGTCCCCGCCGGCAGCTCGAGACAACTGTCGAACAACAGCTTGCTCGACATGCTTCTTCACAATTCGGTCTTCCACGCCCTTCCAGTTGGTGCCACCGGAGGGGCGCTTTACTGTTGTCTTGTGGGACTGCTCGTACCGGTTGGACGAGTACTCCTGCGGCAATCCGCGTGCGCGGATTGTCGGTGGCAGGTGCGATACAAGATGTACCTTCACAATAAGCCACTTCGACTTCTGGTTGTCAAACGCTAGAACAAGCGCATCGACCATCCTGGATGGGATGTGTTATGGTGGATTGGAAAATACAGGGTTGGAACATTGGTGTGGTGGGGAGAGGTTTAGCGTGCGCACGCACATAAACAAGGGTTTGCAATTTACAACAAACCGTGCCCCATACCCTCTATCTGCACCTCCTCCCTTCTCTCATGCCCTCTCCCCTCCTCTCATCCCCTCCCCCCTCCTCTCACCTCCTTTCGCCCCCTCTCTCATCCCCTCCTCTCTAATTGCCCCTCCCTTCCCTCACTCTGTGCCACTCCTCTTCTCTCTACACCCCTCGTTCCCTCTCTCAGCCCCTCGTTCCCCTCTCTCAGCCCCTCGTTCCCTCTCTCATCCCCTCGTTCCCTCTCTCAGCCCCTCGTTCCCTCTCTCAGCCCCTCGTTCCCTCTCTCAGCCCCTCGTTCCCTCACTCAGCCCCTCGTTCCCTCTCTCAGCCCCTCGTTCCCTCTATCAGCCCCTCGTTCCCTCTCTCAGCCCCTCATTCCCCTGGGATATCCCTCCTTCCCTCACTCTGCCCCTCTTTCCCTCACTCTGCCCCTCTTTCTCTCTCTTCGCCATTCTTTCCCTCTCTTGGCCCTTCCTTCCCTATCTTTGCCTTTCTCTATCCTTTGTCAGCCCCCATTTCCCACACACGCCCTCACAGTGCCTCTTACGGCCCCTCCAACCCTCTTTTTTGGCCCTCTTTCCCTCCGCGCAACGCACTCACATCCATTCACATTATACTTACTCGCAGGAGACCTCCTCCATCCGCTCAAGCGAGGCATCGGTGTGATACTCAGCCCGGATAAACTCCTTGTACCAATCAGACATGAGCACGATGGCATGTCGAATGTCAGCGCGCTCGGGGAGGTCGATGATGAGGGGCAGCACTTGCATCATGGCACGGTGCTCCGACGCTGAGAAGCAAGCCGTCGTGGTGAAGTACGCCCATGCGGATGGGAGCCTCAGCAAAGATGCAGGGGTTACTGCCTTAA